TGAGATCGTGACCTGAGCTGAAGTTGGACACTTAATCAACTGAGCCACCTAGGAGCTCCCAAAAAGTTTTATTTAAAAACAACCATTTCTTATGTTGATCCCATTAGAGGCCAAGGGCAAGCCATTGGTGAGAACTTGTGGTAGAATTTACCAGGGAAAGGGCACTAAGAGTCTCCAAGTGATTGTTCCCTGGCTTCTAACTTGATTCAGTGTGGAGCTGGGGGATGTGAGGAGCCAGCATGTCAGGTAGAAAGAGCTGGAACAAAGCTGGAGCCGCAGAGAGCAAGGTTCAAACCATGGCCCTATTACCTGCTATGTAACCTTAGGGAAGTTACTTAATCTCTCTGAGCCTCATTTCCCCCATCTGCAAGATGGAAATGAGAATCCATTCCTCAAGTGATTATTGTGGAGAGTTGTTCATTCGGTCACTAAAAATTCAGAGCCTACCTGTGCCAGGTGCTGAACTAGGCTCTGGAGATACAGTGAAAGACAAGCCTAGCAAACACCTTGCCCTTGTGGAATTGATGTTCCAGTGGAGAGGGATAATAATAAGCAAATAATGAAGCAGGAAAACATCAGCTGGTAGGAAAAAGCAGAGGAGTTAGCAGGTGGCGTGATTCTGACAGAGATTACTAGACACCCTCTAATTTTCATTTCCTTTTTCTTCCCGTGTAATAGAACTCTGGATACATGCCTTCCCCAAATAAAGACTACATTTCCCAGGCTCTCTTGAAGCCAAGTATGAAGACTACATTTCCCAGGCTTCCTTAAAGCCACGTATAGCCATGTGACTGAGTGCTGGCTAATGGGGTACAAGCAGAAAGAGTCTCCAGGAAATATCCTGTAAGAGAAGGGGCACATCCTTCTTTGCCCTTTCCTCCTCCCTGCTGGCTGGAATGCAGAAGTGATGGCTGGAGCTCAAGCAGCCATAAAGAACCATGAAGAGAAAGCCATATGCCAAATGTGCCGCTGAATAGAAGGTCCCTGGGTGGGGTCCCTGACCCTGCAGAGCGCCATGCCAGCCTGGGACCTCCAGCCTCCAGATTTCACATCAAAAAGAAATAAACTGTTTTGGTTAAATCACTGAGATTTAGAGTTTTCTCTTACAAACAGTCCACCCTAATTTTCCTTGACACAGTAATAGAGTGGCTGGGAATTATCTCTAAATGGATGGTCGAAGAAGATCTTTTGCGGGGGTAACATTGATCTAAGGTCCAAATGGCGAGAAAAAGCAGCCAGGGGACCCTGGGGAGGAGCGTCCAGGCAGGGTGGGGAGAGATGGGCAAGAATGATGCAGTTGCCTTCATGGAGCAGCAAGAGGTGCATGAGCAAAGGGGCAGAGTGGGCTGCAGTAGGGAGTGAGTTTCACCCCACATTGGGGGAGACACAAAGAATTTTACACAGGGGAGTGGTGTTTTCTGATCCATTTCTAAAAAATCTTTTTAAAGTTTATTTAGCTTTTGAGAGACAGAACACAAGCTGGGGAGGGGCAGAGAGAAAGGGAGACACAGAATCCAAAGCAGGCTCTGAAGGGGCTCGAACTCATGGACTACGAGATCAAGACCTGAACCAAAGTCAGACGTTCAACTGACTGAGCCACCCAGGCGCCCCTGATCTGTTTCTTTCTTTCTTTTTTTTTTTTTTAATTTTTTTACATTTATTTTTTTTTAATTTTTTTTTTTTTGTTTTTTTTTATTTCTAGTAGAGAGAGAGAGACAGCGTGAGCAGGGGAGGGTCAGCGAGAGAGGGAGTCACAGACTGAAACAGGTTCCAGGCTCTGAGCCGGCAGTCAGCACAGAGCCCGATGCGGGGCTCGAACCCACGAACCGCGAGATCATGACCCAAGCGAAAGTCGGACGCTTAACCGACTAAGCCACCCAGGCGCCCCTACATTTATTTATTTTTGAGAGACAGAGTGTGAGCAGGGGAGGGGCAGAGAGAGATGGAGACACAGAATCTGAAACAGGCTCCAGGCTCTGAGCTGTCAGCACAGAGCCCGACGTGGGGCTTGAACTCACAAACCCGTGAGATCATGACCTGAGCTGAAGTCCGATGCTTAACCAACTGAGCCACCCAGGTGCCCCGGCCCTGGTCTCTTTCTAAAAAGTCACTCTGAGTGCTGGGTGGCACCTAGGGGGTCCGAGTGAAGCCAGGAGACCAGATGGGAGGCTCCTGGGGTGACTGAGGAGTGGGGTGGTGGGGTATAGGACTCCAAGGGAGAAGGGCTGGGTTCATTCATCCCTGAGCACCATTCCAGTTCCAGTCCCAGCCCCCACCTCCTCTATTCTCCCCCCCCACCCCGCCCACAACAGCCCTCACCTGCTCTAATGATGACTGGTCCCTTCACAATGTGCAGGGATTACTGCTCCTCTTCCATTAACCCCCGAAACGGCTCTACACCCCCAACTCACACGGTTCCTTATACCCCTGGTCTTTCCACCTGGGAGGCCTTGCTCCCTCTTCTCCTGCTGAACTTTCCTGAGACTCAGCTCAGAAGACTCCCTGGGGACATCTCCACTTTCCAAATCACTCATCCCGCAGGCCCCCCAGACTTTGTTCACACACTGTCATTGCACTGTGTTAGGTGCCGCCGTCCCCACTGGGTGTGAGCTCCATCCCCACAGCTCCTTCTCCCTCCACAACTCAGTCCTTTACCCTTGACCTTGGCTCCCAGCCTTCCAGATTATGCTTCCTGTCTTCATCTCAGTAGGTCTTCCCAGCAGCCCAGAGAGGAAGATCAAGAGTGGAGAGATGATATGGCCAGCTCCAGGTCACAAAGTGACCAAGGTCGCAAAGCCTCCTGCCCTCCCAGTTCCATTGAATCCAATGTCCCAGCCATGGGGTGCTTCCGCGTGGTTTGAGTCCCCGGTCCGTGAGGGCACGGGAAGTCATATCTTCACCAGGGAGTACCCATGGACCCCTCCAGCTCACCTGGCCAGACCCTATCCTCTCTGCCAGCCTCCTGCCTCCCTTCAGTGGGTCACCCCACGCCATCTGGACATCCCCTCACCTCAGCGGCCACTGCACACCACAGTCCTCTTTGCCCCGAATGTGAGCCCAGGTCTTCCCTTCAGTGCCTGCTGGGGACTGTCCAGCAAGGCTTTGCTGGGAAGTGGGTACTGAAGAGCCCATGTGAGACTCTGACACGTGTCTGCCTTCCTTAGTCATGGACCCACACTGCTCCACCTCATTGCCAAGCTCACAGCAAGGGACAGCTCCCCAAATTCCCATGACATCCCTCTTTCTCTCGTGGGATCTCGGCCTCTGCTCCTTCAGGCCAAGAAAGAGAAGATAGCCTCCTTTCCGCGGCCACTGCCTCACCTCTCACTCAGGACTGATGACATCCCGGGACGATGGGAAGAGAGGAAGTCTCGTCCCCTCAGGAGAACCACGCTGTCTGCCCAGAGGTCCTCCTGCTGGGACAACTCGTGGTCTGGGCTGCGTGGTCTGGCAAAACATCGTATGGGAAAGGTAACCAAATCACTGCTCACGTGTCTTCCCCAGGCCCAGCCTGGGGGTCCACCCTCGGCTTACCTTGTTCCTGCTGACCCTTGGCCTTGGCTCCCAACCTTCCATGAGCACAGACTTGGACAAAGACACCATGGACCTTGGGAAGGGGAACGGAACCTGGTGGGCTCTTCCCTTAGCACTAGGAAGTCAGCGGGGCGGGGGGGGGGGGCAGGTGGAAGGGAAGGGGTGGCAAGAAAGATTCCACTTGACTACTCTGTCACCCTTGTGGCCTTCTCCATGAACTGGGGAGGCTGTGAGGACCGGGTGTGACTACCAGGTGAAGCCCCCAGCACAGTGGTCACACACAGGAGAAATAGCCTCCACGCTCCGGCCCCTTTCCTTCTCTGCGGTGCAGGCTTGCGTTGAGACCCAGGAAAAGGTGGTGAAATTGCTGGATATGCCATCCCTCTGTCCCTTTCTGAGCCGGAAGCAGGGACTCCCCAGCCGGGAGCCACAGAACCGGGTGCTCTCACTTTGTGTTAAGGACACCGAAGCCCAGAGAGGGCAGGCACCCGTCCAGGGTCCCACAGCCAGTTAGTTTGGGTGCTAGGCTAGGATGGCTTCCTCTCTCGGCGCCCAGAGCAGTATCTGCAAACGCCCCTTTCTGTCCGCTTTCAAGCCTCTCTTCATTCTTGCCAATCTGAACTCATCCTTCAGTCTATGCTTCTTTAGCAACCGGGGCCCGGGAACAGGTGACCGGCCCCAGCACCCCCAGGAGCAGAGGCAGCCCCGCTGGGGGCTGGGGTGTGGGCAAGGGCATGGCGGGGGCCGAGAATGCAGGCTGCTCTGGCCTGGGGGCCTGGGCCAGGCTGCCGACAGAGGAACCAGTGTGCCCAGACATTGGGGCTTTGTGAGCTGGGAGCTCTGTGTGGGGAAGGTTGTTTTTGTTACCCTGACATTGTTTCAGGTTGACTGAGTGGCAGAGCTTTAGCATCCAGGGGCTGGCTCTTTGGAGGCATCCGGGGTCTTGGGGAGAGAGTGGCCGGGGAGCCCTAGTCCGGGGCAAGAGGGGGAAGGGGCTGCCTGGACCCTGTGTACCCTGAGCAGGTCCCCATGGGCAAGGCCACAGAGCAAGAGCGAGCTCTGAGGGAAGACGCCACGAGAGAAGACAGAAGTTGCCCATGCAGCTCGGGACCAGAGCAGAGGAATCTGGCCAGAGCGAGGATGGCCAGAGCGAGGACCGGGGCATCTAGAAGCTGGGGCAGACCTGCCACGAGGCTGGGAGCTCGAGAACCCAGCCGTCCAACCCTAGTCCACGAAAGAAGACCAGGAGAGTCCTTGGGGACTAGCCGGCTGGGGTGGGGTGGGCCAGACTCACAGCTGTCCAGATGTGCGTGAGAGATAACTCTGTTTACTGGGCACCCAGAAGGAGCCGGGCGGGGGGTGGGAAGGGGCTCCCGGGACCGTGGGGCGGGCAGATTAGGAGGCGGGGGCATGAGTCAGGGGTTTGGGAGCCAGGACCTGGTGCTGTTAGAGCAGGTGTGAGCTCAGCTGCTTGCAGAGAACACCGGTGGCTTCCGGAGTGCACTGAGGGACCCCGAGGCTCGTGAGCAGGTAAGCAGGGCTGGGAGGGGCTGGGGGCTGTCCCATGGCACCTGTCCCGAGGGTTTCTGCAGGTGCACAGCCTGAATCTGTGTCTAGGTGGGCATAGGCGCCCAGTCTCCAAAGGGGGGGGGTGCAGGTGGGTGGGTTGAGCACATAAGATGTGTGTTGCTACCCCTAAGGGCACCAGCCCATCAGCACCAGCAGCTGGAGAGCGCAGGGCTGCGGGTGTTAGGAAAAAGCAGCTGGCACGTGGCAGCAGAGGTTATGTGTGGCTGGGTGGAGGTGGGGGGCCAATCTGATCCCCCTTCAAATGTGGGTCCTTGTCAGGCTCCTATTTACCAGCCTCTCGGGTTGCACCGGTCTTACAGCCCAGCTCCCTCTTTCCTCCATGTGTGGGGACCCACAGGCCATCGCATCTCCCTCTTGCAAGGAAAATTGTCCACTGACACCGATTCCCCTATGGGATACTTCCAGGGTGTTGACCGGGCAGACCTGGCCCCGTCCCTGTGCTAGAGAGTGTTGTTTGGAGGGAAAGGAGGAGTCCCCCATCACCCAAGGAGCTCAAAACATTTCGGCTAATTCCATGGGATCTGAAGGAAAATCAGAGAGACAGAGATGAAGATAGCAAGTCTGACTTTGATCCCCAGTGCAGTGATGACAATGGCAAACGTTTACACTGACCTGGTTATGTGTCAGGCGTTATTCTAAGCGCTTTATGTAGATCAATTTAATGCTGCCACAGGCCTGTAAGGTAGGTATCAATATTACCCCACTTTACAGACAAGACAACCAAGGCACAGAGAGGTTGAGTCACTTGCCCAGGGTCACACAGTAAGTGGCAGGGCGAGGATCTGAACCCAGGCAGACTGACTGCGGAGTTCATGCTCTTAACCACTAGCACGAAACAACTCAGATCTGTTTTCTCTTCTGGGAGACAAGCTTGGCATGATGGCTAGAGATGTAGTTGGAGTTAGCTGGGTCAGGATTTGCCCCCGACACCTACCTCCCAGAGGACCCAAACAAGTCAACCCCTCTGAACCTCAGCTTTCTCATCTGTAAAACGGGGTTTCATGACATTACCCGTTTCATGGAGGAGCTTGGGGACTGTAGGAGATAAGGGCATACAGCTTTGTGCGATGTGGGAACGATTACACAAAGGCAGTGCTACGCCACTAAGGAGCCCTCCCCATCATCTGTCACCCCCCCCACCCCAGCCTCTGCCAGCTGTGCTACACCTCCCGGGCTCCAGATGCCCTGCTCACCCTTATCTGGCCTTGCCCTGGCTGACTGACTGGCCAGGTGTTTGGGAAGCTTCCAGACATAGGACAGTGATCGGGTTCCAGGCTCTTATCAGTTCAAGGCCTGGGGTTGGCTGGCAACACCCAGCAATCTGGGTGGTGGGTATGCCCTGTAAGGCCCCAGAGGAGTTCAAGGCATCTCCGTCCTCATCTCTTCTCTCACTGAGGTCTCAGAAACCTGGTGGGAAGGCCCTCCCATTGTACAAATGGGATGACTGAGGCCTGGAGAGAGGCTGGGGACTGCCCAAGGCTGTTCAGCCTGTCGGTGGCAGATAGGCGGTCCCTCTGACCAACCCACCTCTCAGACAGGAAATGGAGGCCACAGTCCCAGCCGCGCGGTGGGACTTTTAGCACCCTTGAGGCTTAATACCCTTGAGATTGCCAGGGATCCGAGGCCCGGGTCAGGGCAAGGTCAGAGAAGGAAGAAAGAAAACAAAGATGGGAGAAGGGGAAAGAGAGGGACAGAAGAGGCAGAGAAAAAGCTGCGTGACTAGGGTCCTCAAGGGTCCGTGGCCTGGTCATCACTTCCCGTATGACCACCGCGAGGCAGGGACCCCTGCCTTTCTCAGTTTGGGCGGGGGGGGCTCTATCATGCCCTCTCCCTATCCCTCGGGACTCCGGCACCCCCCGGTCCTCGAAAAGGAATCTGTCTGTCCCATTCTCTCTGTGTGTCCTTCCTGCCCCCTCCCCTCAGCGCCCAGCTTTGTTCCTTCCCCACCTCTCAGCCCTTCACATCCCACCCCAGCTTCTTGGCCCCGCCCCAGGGTCCCCCTCCTGGGACCTGTCTATCCCCAACCCTATGGGCAGGTCCTTCCTACCCCTCATTCTGCCTTACGATCCTTGGCACCCAACACGTTCTGCTCCTTTCTTGTTGGTCTGGGGGACCTGTTATCTCCTGAAGCCCTTACCTGTCGCGTGTTCCCAGCCTGCCATCCCAGTCAGGGCTGGGGGGCTTCTCGAGAGGAGGGACAGCGTCTTGTTGATCTCAGCTCCTTGCGGGCATGGAGTGGGCATGTCTGTCGACGTGACTCGAATCGCTATGGTCGAAACACCCTGTGCTGCAATGGGTGAGGGGGAAACGGAGCCCCTCCACGCCCAGTCCGGGGCCACCCTACTGCTCCCTTGGCGCTGGTCCTCACATTCCTGGAGCGGGCATGCCCTCCTCTCTGCCAGAGCCACAACGAGGCAAATGGAAGCGCAGGGCTCAGCTGTCTCTTGGCCGAGCCCGTCATCCTGAACCCCAGTCCCAGAAGCACAAGCCTGCAGGGCGGAGCCATGCTTACATTCATCCACAACATAGTTATTGATGGCAACCTATGTGGCAACCCTTCTGCCAGGAGTAGGGGATTCAGGGGGGACCGAAACATGGACCTGAGCACTCGAGCCGCTTCCTTACTAGAGGCATCCTCAGATGATGTATTCACAAATGAATCAAAAACCCAGAAAATAACAGATTGGGCTAGAGAATGTGAGGGTGGTCAGGAAGGGACTCTGAAGAGCTGAGATGTGGGAAGGAATGAGGTGTGTGGGGGGAGTGGCACCTGGAATGTGAGCAACTGCACGTGCAAAGGCCCTGGGGAAAGGGCTCATAAGGCCAATGGGATAGGTGGGGAGCGAGTATGAGAGATGGAGTGGGGGAGATGGTGTGGAGGAGAGAGACAGGGCCACGTCGTTCAGCACCTGTGCGCCACTCTCAAGGGCGCTACAGCCCCACGCCCAGCAGAAAGTAGCCGTTTCTGGGGGAAAAGGGTATGTTGTGAAGACACTCGGGGGAGCCAAGCTCCTTGAAGAAGAAACAGGTCATGTCCCTGGAGTTGGCTAAGTCCTGAGGATGGACAGGAAACGATGCCAGTGAGGACTGGTGGACGGAGGAGGGAGTTGAATCTGAAGGCCACCCCATCTTCTCAAACACCCTTTGATCGATGCCACCCAAGTTCCCCCCATCTCTTTGGGCCCCCCATAACCAGACCTCAACCTATAGATCTAGCTCCTTCCTCCAGGCCCCTCTGACACTTCCTTCCCCTGAGCCCACTGTCTCCCAAGACCTGGGATCCCCCTTCACTCAAACCCCTCTGGGGGGCGGGGGACCCAAAGAGCGTGGGATGTCCTGTGTCTCACTCAGCCTGTGCTGCCCCACTTTAGGGACCCGCAGTGTGGGTTATGCTGGGGGTGTGGATCGCCGTGGACAAGTGAGAAATCTGGACGGCACCATGGGGGATTTGCAGGTGAGTCTTTTGTGGTGCCTGCAGGGCTCCTATCTCGGGGCCCTGGGAACCCAGCCCTGGTCTCCCCACTTCACGGTGGCTCAAGAAGCCTGTCACAGCCCGGCCCTGCTGGCCCCGTCCACAGGACGATTACGAAGAGGAGCTGGAGGACACTTTAGAACGGGAGGACTATGAGGAACCAGATGTCCCCGTGCTTCAAGAGGAGGAGCCAGTGGGTGAGCACCATCTCTCCTCTTGTTGGGATGAGCTGCTGAGCCCGAGACCGAGGCGGGTGGGGAACTTGCCTTCTCCCTTCACCACCACCTCCCCAGCCCCAGGGCCAGTTTGCCCACAATCCTGGCTGATTGAAGGATAAACAGAGTTTTGTTTGAAATGATCACAGGGGGTGACTGCGGGGGGGGGGGGGGGGGGGGGGGGGG